GGAATTGCCTGGAGACATGCGTATGCCTTCCCAGGTCTGACGTAAAGGAGTCCTGGGTGAAGTCCTGGTTAGCAATGGAGAACGAGAAGTCTTCGGATGATGGAATATAAGAAACCTAGCGTTACCTTTTGCTGTCTTTGCGTTATCCGATGCCTCTTCGTGGATGAACCTACAGTCGTCTTGGGAGCGGCCGTGGAGATCTGAGGGTGGGTCTGGTGGCTTTTCTGGAAGCGCCATAGCGAAGCCCATGAGGGCGAGCCAGTGAAATGGGAGCATCATTTTCCCGCCCACCTTTGTATAGGACGAAGACTGATCAAGGGAGGTTCGGAGGCTGGCTTACCTCGATCACTGACCTTGAGCGGATGGTCTGCCCATGAGAGGGTTCTGTGATTTGAGAGGGAGATCTCTATTAAGTAGGAGGCATCACTAGCCACCGACGTCCTGAGAGGTACTCCTACAGCTATCCATATGAGGTAGGACGAGTTATGGCAGACAAGGCGAACTTACGATCTGGTACGTAGTTCGCAGCACGCGGTGCAGCTACTCTTCAACGTCACCCGAATGCCTATGCCCGCTATCACCCGTACGCTTTCGCATGCGCAGGTTCTCAAAAGGGGTATCGTGAGGCCCCATTTCAGCGACACCAACCTGGTTGGTAACTCACTTCGGCTAGTAATACGCACTTGACACATTTGTTCATCTGCCTGCGCCGTGTTTGCTCTCGGATAACCACACCGTTAACCGCAGTTGTGCGTTTCCGGAAAAGGACCGCGTGAGCGCCGGAGGTGCTGCCATGCCCCGTATGGACCGAAAAAAGGAACTGGCGTCACACGCTCCTCGGGCGTTCTGTCCGTCCCTTTTTTGTTTGGCCGATCGAACGGCAGTCAGAGCACTTAGAAAAGGTAAGAATGTAATTCAGAAAACCCTCGAGCGACCCATTGTGCCTCCAAGATTGCCAAAGACTTGCTCTTCGACTCTTTGATCCTAGCTCGGTCTCTAGAGCAGCATCCAAACGATGATTAGTCTTGGGCAACGTGAGACGGGGATGAAAATGGTGTCACAGCACCGATCTTGCCGATCCGGTGTACAGATCTCATACAATGAGATGTGGCTTTCCTTTCAATGCAACGTGGAAAGCTGATAAGTAATCCATACTCGGCGATTCAACGCCGTCGATAAAAGCAGCGGAGTGAAGTGGCTAGACGGTCGAAAAGTTGTGGAGAGGGATCAAATATAAGACGGACTCCCTGGCTATCCCAATGCATGAGTGAATAGCCATCGAAATAGAATAGAGCAACTGTCAGTCAGATCTCGATCGTTGCAACGATGCGGGTTTCTACATGCCACGTATGTGACGCAGCTACCATCGTCAGTGCCGTGCCTCGATGACAGCCAGCCGTGCAGGTTTCATAGAGAATAAATCCGTTTCTGGCCACTGCATATGTTGAGGGATTGCAAGGCAGCCCAGTCTGGCAATGACATCTACCCCTGGCCGACATATTCATTGAGAAGCTCCAATCCATTTACGGCCTCCCTTCCTCCTCAATCTATCCCCCCTCCCTTTGGTACCCTGGCATTGGCGTAAGTAGATTCAGAGTTCGACTCCTTGTCCAGAGATCTATCCACAAATCCAGGACTACTTGGCTCTCCGAATTCAATGCATATTTTTACCGTCCACGGGGCGCCTGTAGAGAACCAGCGGCATAACTACCCCCAAGTGTGGCAGCGCTGTGGCAGCTTGGTGGAACCTGCGGCGATCCAGACACTGATCGGGGGACAGGCGAGCCAACCAGTATCCAACCAGCCTTCCGGCGCCAATTTGGGTAGGGTAAGCGGAGCCGATCCGATCTCATTTTGCCAAGCCGAGGGTTGTCAAGGGTCTTCAAGGCGTTGTGGAGGCATGAATAATCTCGATATTCGTCTCATGTCAGGGCGATCGTACCGATTGAGCGTCATGCCTCACCCAGGTTTCGGCCTCAACGGATCGAGGAGGGAGGCAATTCTTGCTGTCCTCGATTCTGCTGGTGAATTGGTTCTATTTATTTAATTTGGGCTTCTCGCTGCATCTGATCTTAGTTCTTGTTCTTAGAACCTCATTCCAACTTTATCACATCCAAGTTCTGTGAACACCTCTTTTTTGCCAGTACTTTTTAATTAAACAAACTACTTGAAAGCCGGACTTTCGTCTTCAATTCTATCAAAATGCAGCTCTCTTACATCCTCGCTCTCCTCCCCTTCGCCACCGCGGCCGTCCTCCCCCGTCAAAACAACAACGCCGCCGCAGACTTCGGCCTCTGCAACCCCAGCATCGACTTCCAGTTCGGCCGTGGCAACCGCGCCGACGACGAGGGCACTTTCCTCCCTACCGACGCTCTCGTCGCCCAGGGTCAGCAGGACGCTCTGAACCCCAACATCATCACCAACCGCGTGTGCGACCAGCTCACCAACGTCTGCGAGGCGAACCAGGCGGCTAAGGACCTTTGTTTGCAGGCTAAGGCGCAGGTTGAGGCTGCGGGGACTAGGGATGCTTCTACGGCGCAATTGTTTAATAGCGTTCTTGGATTTTAAGAGGTGATTTCTTGTTGGGAAGAGGGGTGCTTGGATGGCTGAAGGGCTAGGTTGGGAAGGCCGGTCGGCGGGGATACTCAGATGTGAATGAATAAAAAAACATTGCGAAGTGCCATTCTAGCTTCCTAACCTGTCCCGGGGATTCGTAAGACTGCGTATCTAAATGACAAGAGCTCAAGGTCTTGGCATCAAAGGCAGGGAAACGGAACATTCGATGAATACTGTAGTTCGGGCGGAACTACACCGGAGGTGCTCTTGTTGAGTGACTCAGAGAATCATTTCCATTGACCTGGATCGATTGATTCTAATCGTGAAGGGCCGAGTTTACTGGCCCGATGCACGGAGTCTCGGCGGCCCAAAGTCCGGCGAAGAAGAGTGGAATCGATTCTAAATGTAACCTTCCATCATGTGTATCTATCCGTCCCTGAATGGATGTCGGCGTGTCCAGGGCGGGTACTGCCCCAGAAACCGCTATGCCCTTCGTCTTTTACGCGCATTATCCACCTCTAATAGGCCGATGGAGAAAAAAAACCCAAGTCCAAGCCTACAGCATCCTCAACCTACTTAGCAGCATCGTGCATCCAGGCATACAGTTCCAAAGCCAGGCACTAGTCAGGCAACATTGGCGTCAACAATTCTGCTCATTGATACTGATGATGTAGAGGTTTAAGCTAGCGTTCCTTGCTTCATTCTAGAACGCGAGTTGAGATTTCCAGACGGAGGCCCAAGACAATATGGACATGGCTCAGTGCCACCAGGGCTGAAACCAAATGATACCTAGATTAATATCCACGCATTTAGTCGAGGTCAGGGGACCGAACCACATGCAAAAGATTCAGTATGACACACAAGGAATTTCGACGACGCAAAGCTTCAATTCCTCCAATCCTTTGCCGGCGCAATGAATACGAATGGATCGATAGTCTGTTGCGATCGGAGAAGGCGAGATTCCAGTTTACAGCCCCCGGGCAGACGACGAATGCGCAATGACGATGGATGGTTGCATGCATATACAGAAGGATGATTTGAGTTGGAAAGATTATGAATCGACACCGTGGAGAAGACAGAAGAAGGCGACCCCCGAGTCCGTGAGTTCGGGACCTATCACGGCGCGGAATCCCATTTTCTGGAGTCACTGGAGTGGGTCGATGACGGAGAAGACAGACCACAAATCAGATTTCACTGCAGTTGTCAAAAACGGGGTCCTCCGGTTCAGGCCCGATTCTTATTTGCTCATTTGTGGGTTGGGGAAGGAACTGACCTGTAATGGGGAAAGGGTAGTCGTGACTTCCATGTTTTCGACCCTCCAGGGCAAAATACTTCATAGTACTTTCGTTTGAAGAATTGAATATACAAAATATTCAACGTCATAGAAATTGAAGTGTACTTGTGGTGTATAGAAGGCCACATGCAAGACATGCTTCATGGCGACGGAGTACTTTGTACCTCTCCCAGGATCGTCTCGCCTTGACATTTAATCTACTTGCTAAACCACAACTGCAACAATTCCACACCGCGTTATGCCAAGCATCAGATCATGGCTCAATAACTTCTTCTCGCAGCCAGCTCCCACGCCGAACTGCACCACGATGGTATTTCCTCAAACAAGTGCGGTTGAGGTGATTGAACCCTGGCCCCGGAGATGCCACAGGTCTCAACTTGAACCATTTGCGCATCCCAGAAGTTGACGAGTCCCTTTCCATCTTCTTGGAACACCCACGTTCTTCAAGTTACTGGCTGGAACAATTTGGGCCGAGCAAGCAACACGACGCACCATGTCACGAGTTAGTGAGGGCCATACGGGGTTACGAGCTCTGCCAAGAATGGCCGGGCGACGCCGCATCGGTCGGTGGCCATGCCTTCAGCAGTTCGATGAGGTTGTAGTTTAGCAGTTCCAGCCAAAACTTTATTGCAATGGAACCCTAAAGTGTCTCGCATGGCGCGCTATACTCCGTACTTTGTAAACTAGTCGTGTGCCGTCCGTCGCCAGGCCAGGCATTGCGGGATCTGTTGAACAACCCGGCCCCATTCATGGCCAATCCCTGCTCGAGCGGAATGCGCGAACGCCGCCCATCAGGAGACGGCCGACAAGCGGGACGACATCTCACTTGCAAGAAGGAACTTCATCGCGCGAGGAATATTTTTTTAGGAATATCAAGTATATATTGCTCGGGTCACACAGCTTCTCCTGACGTTCTAGGAAACTTTATTGCCCATCAACACCTTTTTGAAGCATAGTTTCTTCAATTATAGAACTCTACCATCATACCACAATCCTGCCCTGTCTCTAACTCCGACATAGAGGATTGATCTCTTTTACAAGCACATAACAAACTTGGAACTGTATACGCCACATTCGCATCTACCTATCAATCTCTTTCCTGAAGAGAGATCCTCCCCCCTCCCATACACGCATTGATAATCTCCATATAATGGATATCGAAAAGAACCCCCCGCCTGCTGCGGTCGACTTGCCAGAGCGGACTGCAGACTCAGATGTCAATCAGGGCCCAGCCGAAAAGACTGTGGACCCAGATGCCAATCTAAGTCCAGAAGAAAAGAAATCAGTTGTAAGTACTGTTCCAGCTCCCCCCTTCGGGATCCTGCCAACGGGTTAACACCTATTTGCCTCTATTTCAGTACCAGAAACTCGTGTGGAAACTTGATCTCCACTTATTACCATGGCTTTGCATCCTGTACTTGCTGGCCTTCTTAGATCGTGCCAACATTGGTAACGCCAAAATCGCCGGTCTCACCCACGACCTTGGGATGTCGGTATCACAGTTTAATGCCACATTGACCATTTTTTACATCTCCTACTCGGTATTCGAGCCTTTGACCAATGTGTTATTAAAACGCTTACGTCCTTCCGTCTTCATTCCACTCCTCATGTAAGACACCGCCTCTAATTTGTTAGCGTAATCCTCGACTAACACGAAATGAAAAACGCAGGATTATTTGGGGATCCGTAATGACATCTATGGGCTTCGTCAAGAACTGGTCCGGTCTTATGGCCGCCCGATGGTTCCTAGGTCTCGCTGAAGCCGGTCTCTTCCCCGGAATCAGCTTCTACCTGTCTTGTTGGTACAAGCGATCCGAGCTCGGCATGCGCACGTCCATCTTCTTCTCTTCCGCCGCCATCTCCGGTTCCTTTGGTGGTCTCTTAGCCGCTGCTATTGAAAACATGGCAGGCATCGGCGACCTACCAGGCTGGGCGTGGATCTTCATCCTCGAGGGTCTGTTGACTGTCGTCTTCGGATTTGCGTCCTTTTGGACGGTGTACGATTTCCCCGATGGACCTAGGACGAGGTTCCTCAACTCTGAGGAAAAGAAGCGGGCTATCAACCGTCTCAAGGCAGATAACCAGGCCAGCGCCGAGTACGAAGCGTTCCAGATGAAGTACGTCTGGCAGGCCATGAGGGACTGGAAGATGTGGATAGGCATGATCATCTACAGCGGTTGCACGATGCCTCTTTACGCATTCAGCATGTTCCTGCCTACGATTATCATGGACCTCGGCTGGAATACCAGCGTCGTCAGGTCCCAGCTGTACAGCGTCCCTCCCTACATCGTCGCCGCCGTCTTCACCATTGTTGTGGGCTACCTAGCCGACCGCATGAACAAGCGCGGTATCTTTAACGTGCTCACGAGCTTGATCGGCGTTGTTGGCTTTATCATGCAGCTAGCCACGACGAGTCCTGCGGCGCGGTACACGGCTACTTTCCTCGGTGCCCTGGGTATCTACCCCTGCATCCCCAACACCATCTCGTGGGTCTCTAACAACACCGAGGGCGTGTACAAGCGAGGTGTCGTCCTGGGCTTCGTTATCGGCTGGGGTAACCTCAATGGTATCGTGAGCTCCAACATCTACTTCTCCAGTCCCGACTACGTCGAGGGCCATGGCGTCGTCTTGGCCTACATGGCTTTGTTCCTTTGCGGCGCAAGTTCCCTCATGATGCTGCTGCTTCACCTCGAGAACAAGAGGAGGCTAGCGGGAGAGAGGGACGTGTGGGTAGAAGGCAAATCGGAAAAGGAAATTCGCGAGATGGGTGACCGGAGGCCAGACTTTATTTACGTGATTTGAGTGTCGTTTTTTCCTTTCTTTTGTCCACAATTCTTGGGCAATATTGAAGGAAATTTTTCATAGGGGCGCACGGCGTTGAAGTAGCTTTTTGGGGGCGATTTCATGAGGGAACACAGGACTGCAAAGATGCAGGTTGTAATGGATGAGGATATTTGGGAGGCACGAACCTGCGAGAAAAGCATGGCGAATTGATTATGCATCAGAAGATAGACGAAACCTCGCCAAGAATTAATTACTTGGTCTAATAATATTTAGAACGACGATTGCAGGGATGAAATCTGTAAATATGCCGTATGTGACAAAATTGCCATGTTTGCATGCCACAATCGTCATCGCAAACTTCATGATCGAACTTTGAGGAACGAGTATTTAAGGATGAGTTCATCCGTTCTCTCAAAGGACGCGTGGCATCGAGCCAAGTTCCTCTTTCACCATGTGGCAGATGTTGTCACCACGTGTGCCGTTAGCTCTATATGACTAAGTAGTGCGCTTGGGTTTCAATGAGCAAGGGCCGATGGTCTAGTGGTATGATTCTCGCTTAGGGTAACACCCTATGCTAATATGCGAGAGGTCCCGGGTTCAATCCCCGGTTGGCCCCCAATTTCTCTTTTTGCTCTCCTGAGCTCTGGTCTCTCATCCTTCTTTTTTCGCCCTCGGGAATTTTCATTTTCGATTATTTCCTTCTTCCTACCTCCTTATTAGGTCTAACTAAGGATCGCGCAACTTGGGGGTAGTGGAAGAGAGTCGAGGCGTGGTTTCCCTGGCTTCATTGTCGATGCAAGTGAAGAACGAACCTGGGTCGCGAATCTGGCATCATAGCAATTGGGAACAATGATCATTTTGATTCTATTGCTACAAGTCGTGCCCGTACATTAAGTCCAAGCGACCGTCATCGTCCGACACCGCTGTGAGGACTTCTCTTTAAATCCTACGCAGCCCAGCCACAAACCCAAATAATATACCAACTTGCTCATTTTTCTTTTTTTTTTTTTTTTTCAATCATAAACACCGCAATATGGCGCACCTCCCCGTCTCAAACCCATCTTACGCAAGCATGTCCCAACCAGTCTTGATAGTCAAGCCAAGAAGGCCCAAGAAGGCAATGAACTGGCCCGAGCCGATATACCTTCCCGACCCAGCCTTCTTGTTAATGTTGGTATAACCGACAGCGTACATGATCCTAGAAATGGACCAGAAGACACCGAGACCGGCAGCGACAACGGGGTACTTGAGACCAGCGACGAGCATGAGGTAGAGGTTTCCAGTGTGGTTCTCGAGGAAGTTTCCGTGGCCGCGCTGGGCGCAGTTGAAGAGGTAGAGGGCATCCTTTTCCTTCTGGGTCTTGGCGGCGGCGTACTGCTCGGGGGTGGCGTACATGTAGGGGTAGGGGACGCCGGCGGTCTTGCGGAAGAAGTTGACGCGGGCGCCGTGCCAGAAGCCTACGAGGACGGAGAAGGCTCCGCTAAGGATGACGTAGCTGAAGAGGGAGACAGAAGACAACGCGGTCAGTTTTCTGGTTGTTCATTGTCGCGCGGGGAAGGAAGCGGAGCAGGCTGTTCATGTTGAGGGGGATGGAATTAGAGGCTTTCGACTTACCCGTACTCATTTGGAACTTGGAGTGCGATGGACATTTTGGCGGTTTGATTGGATTGAAGATCGGGCAATTGGAGTGAGGTTAGGGGCGATGGTCTGGGGTAGCAATCGGGGAAGTGGTTCGTGACGAGTGATGGAGTTGACGGGTGTCGGAAGCTCTGAAGCTTAAATACTGAATTACTGATCAGGAGCTGCAAGGTACCCACCCACTAAGGAACCCTTGTCCCCGAAGATCCAGAACAACAACGACGCCTCAGCACGGATCGTGGTGTTCCAATTGGTTCCCCCAGGCCGGCTGCGGCATTTGTAATCACCAATAAGCCGATGCACAAAAGGACACTTCATATGCGCCGTCCGCCCAGCGCCCCAACAAGCCTGTTTCAACCATCCAAGAAGCTGTATTGCGCTGTGGAGTCGTCATCCATCCACTGGGGACGCCTGAGACGGAGCCGGGCTCATTTGGCCAGGCTCCTCCGTTCCTTCGGCCTAATTCATTGCAGCTGTTGCTAATCCTCACGATGCAGGCGCCCTATTTCGAGAAATTTCCATGGCATAGTTGGATGGACGCGAGTCGGAGTGTTACATCCCCGAACGCCGCGAGATCATCGTTAATGTCTGGGGATGGTGGGAGGTATCCACGCGGCCCTTCTGCGAGGGTGGTCCGACATGCGGTATCCGAGTCTCATGATGCTTACTTTCGGGGGCACGGCTTCCTTGGTCTACTGTTCAGGGCCATATTAAACTACGTCGTTTATGCCACGGTTTTCTTATTTTTTCACTTTTCCCTTGGCATGGGGACGACGAAGCGGTTGCTGTCTGGAATGAAATCTCTGTTCATGTTCAAAGATGAAAGGCAGCTCGGGATTATAACGCGGCGGAACTCCGCATCGCCTGGAGAAGCCATGGTAGATGCTCCACCATGCGACAATGCCAAGGATCCCGGGCCGTACTTCGTACTTCGAACCAGGTAATACTGAAAGAACACGAGAAAACGATCCAGATGATGACGGGGCGGGAAAGGAGATGGGATACAGTTCAGTTAGTGGATGCAGCCCTATCTGTCAACGAGAGCAACAGCCGCTTGAGCCTTACAGCCAACCATCAGGGATTAGGTGATCGGAGTGATCTGTCCTTCGAGGTAAGCTACTTCAGGGATCAGACAATGATCGTTCTTTGCCTCTCCGTAATTATAGAGCCCCTGTATGACCTTGACCTTTGCTCCAGAGCAAACCTCGAACTGCTCTCCTTTGCGATGATGGATAGTGTACCTTGGTAAATACCCGCAATTTTGTTAACATGCGGAACTCCGACTGATCATGCCCCACTGGTATTTCGATTGAAATTACACTGCATCTGCGAGAATTCCAGGACGCGTTGGAAGAGATGCCCCATTCCCAACAGGTTTCTGCTTGTCCTGGGGACACACGCGGTGAAGGATGTAAACCAGACCGCCCGGCTGTGCAATGCCGGGAGGCCATCCTTGTTCTCGGAAGAACTTCTGACGAAAGGGGGCATGTACCTATCGCAAAGAATGCCTGAAATTATCTCTCCGTTGTCACATATCCGAAAGAGACCTTGTCTCTAGGATGCATGAGAATCTGTCTCCGCTGTCAAATGTCGTCATCGGTCAGCTTACCCGCTGTCGGCTCCGGCAGGATTCCGCGTGCGGTTCTCTCGACCCACCTGAACACCGGGTCCGGACCCGGGCGGATCCAAAGGGGATTCGGCCGAGAGTTTTTCGGGGCGTTAGTATTCATCGGTACCTCCATGGATACATCAGAAAGAGGTTTACTACACCTGTGTATGGAAGGGGGACATTTGACTTGGACAGAGATTTGGTCACATTCACTGAACGTTATTCATATGCAGACTCCAGCAGTCCTTCAAAAAACAGCGAGGCGGCCACATCGAACCCATCTAAACTGAAAGCCCTCCTCCACCAATAATCTTCGCCGCCTCATCCCTCACAGTCTTCATCGCCAAGCGATACAAATGCGGTCCGATCGTAATCCTCGCAACACCAATCTCCGCCAACTCCGCCGTCGTCAAGCCCCCAGCCCTCAGTAGAACCGCCACCCTACCATCCAACTCCTTCACCAGCCTCTTCACCTCACTCGTCCTCAACCCCCTCGCGCCGCCCCAGTAAAACACCGTCGTAGCCCCGGCCTCGAGGTAAGCCTTCCCCCTCTTAATGGCCTCCTGCATGGCCTCCTCGTCGTCATCCTTAGGCGGCGGCTGGAGTCTGAAAACGTCGCATCGCGCGTTGAGAACGAAATCCTCCGGCACGGCGCTTAGCGCACTTTTGAGCCTGCGCAACTGCTCGTCGAGGGGGTACAGAGCCTCATCAACGCCGCCGGCGAAGTTGACCGAGGGGATCGAGTCCTCGATGTTGGCTCCGGTGGCGCCCACCCCGAAGGCGTCCGCTGTGACCTGACGCGGGTCGTCGAAGCCGTCTCGGAGGTCGGTGGAAATGGGGATGGAGGCCTCGCGTGCGATGGGCGCGAGTTCGGAAAGGGCTGTTAGATTTTGCTCGGGGGTGAGTTCTTCATCTTGGATCCCGAGGAGGGCGGCGGTGGCCCATGAGGTGGTGGCGACGGCTTTCACGACGGGTGGGGAGCCTGGGGTGTTGAGTGAGAGGACGGACTTGAGAGAGGAGGGGTCATAGATGTTGGGGATGACGATGGGGTTTCCGGGTTTGTGGAGGGCTTTGAGGGTTGAGCAGGCGCTTGGGGGAGCGGAAGACGCCATCTTTTTAATCGTGAGTTCGGTAAGGCAGTTTAACTAGACTTGGGGAGAGAGTTGTGCGTAAAATTAGGAATTGAACTCATGTCTAAGGAGCTGGTCCGATGGTGTTGAGAACTTGGTGATTTATATTGACGCATGGCTCGTCATTCCTTGCGCCCTTCAGGCTGCCAGCGACAGCGTTTAGCGCGATAGAACAATAGAACGGGTCATCCAAGACGCCGATTATCAATTGTATAACGTCGAGGAGTGACTCGACTTCACACTAGTAAAGTGAAACGGCTTCCCACGGCTGTGAACTTGCACTCTCAAACATCACCAAATTGTTCACGTCGATGTGCATCCATAGATCACGGCCCAAGATTATTAAGGGCGCCCATTATTAATTTTCGACAAGGCCAAAGCTTCGAGTTCTCAAGCCTACGAAGCACAGAATCCAATTGGACATACACTGAACCTTGCCACTCATGACGCCCAACATTGAACATTGAACACCCGCTTACAAAAGAACTGCCCCAGCCCCAATTCCAATGCCGACAATGAGCAGCAGCCCTGTGGCTCGGTCGAGACCCGACCACAACGAGCTCGAACCGGAATCGCTCGTTCCTGATCCCGAACCCGGATTGAATGTGGCAGCGGTCGCTCTCGATGTTGTAGTAGAGCTGGTGAGGTGTCTGCCCCCATCCAAATAGGAAGTCTCACCCGCCCGATCGGCCAGCGACGTCGCGGCTGCCGGCGTCGGAAGCGTCAGATCCTTCGAAAGGTCGCTAAAGTAGTCCGATGCGGCATCCGCATCCGTCGTGCGCACGGTGTATACCGTCCTGGTCGATACGCGAGTAGACGTCACGATGGATGCGCTGATGGCGAACGAATAAGACCAATAGTACGAGTAGTACCACCTAACAAGACGCGATTAGTCCCTCGTTCCATCCGTCCACTAGAATCCGTCTTGCGGATGACATACCAAGTTATAGTCATGTAGTAAGTCCGGTACTCCGTCGTCGTGAAGGTATTCGTCCTCGTCGTCATGCCCCCAATCACCGTCGTCCGCCCATTGTCCACCCGCGCCGTGCAACGCAGGTCCGTACAGCAGACGATCCGGGCGACGCCTGGCATAATCACGCAAATGTTCCCGGCCGGACAGTATCTTCCGTCGCGGCAGCACTCCGTGCCGATGGGATTACAGCCGTCTACACCACAGCAGTTGTGGCCGCTGGGGCAGGGGCCGCGAGCGCAGCAGACTTTTCCGGGTTCGAGGCAGTATCCGCCGGAGCAGCATCTGTTGGAGGAGGGACAGCAGCCTCTGGCGTCTTAAAAGTGAGGAGTGGTTAATTAAGCCGTCCATGAATGAGGAGCAAGAAAAAGAAGGGGAAAAGGAAGAAAGAGTTGTTGCAACTTACACGTGCAGTAGCCGTATCCAGCTCTACATGATTGTCGCTTTCCCAGAAGCGTATCTAGGGCAGCAGCGGGTGAATCCTCAACCCCTTTGGCCAATGCCTCGTGGAAAGTCTGGAGCTGGTATTCTTCCACGACGTAATGTTCTCCGATCTTAGCGTCGCCAGGTTCGATGTTATAGGCAAACTCGGCTCCGACGAGGGAGGAGAGGAAGCAGAAAAGAGTTATATAGCTCGGCAACATGGCGGCTATCGTGTAACTACACAAGGAAGATCCTGCGATTCTCTTCGAACGCCGTCGCTACGACAAGGAAATAGGTCCTACCAAACAGCAAGGTCGGTTTGAATAGGTAAATCTGCCTCTCAGTGAATCCGTGGGTCCTGCTCTATTCATATCTATTCATATCACCAAGAGATCGGCCGCCAAGAAAAAAAAAAGAAAAAAGAAAAAAGAAAAAGAAAAAAAAACGCCTGCTGTATCTCTTCCCAATCCGCTAGCGCGTACATCAGCGGTCTTGGAACTTACAGCTTCACAAACCCCCAGTCGCCTGACGATGCTTCCCTCATTCGGTGTGACTGGTCAAGAGGTGCTAGTCCTAGTCCAGCCAGCGCATCTGCAAGGCTGGGCTCAACCCCACCTTGGAACAGGTTCCCAAGCTCCTGGACAGGAAGTTATGAGCTATATTATGACCTCATGTTCCATTGCACGTTCTGCAGGGAGCGTTGGAGGCTTGAACCAGCCTGCAGCCCGTTAGCCCAACTTCTTGGCGCCGTTTTTGTAAGGGACGATTTTTGTAAGGCGGGTTGATGTTTCCCCGCACCCTGTTTCGATGAGCAGACCAACCCTCCTTGATCTAACCTCGATAATGCAGTTGAGGCGAGGGTTTTACAAGATGAGAGAGCTTCGATAAAAGAAGCCGGGGACTTGAGTCTTTAAGAATACGGAGGGTAGGACGATCATCTTGATTGGGCGTGTAGTAGAAATAAATCGCGCTTTTTTCACTTCCTCGGAAGTGATTATGCAGGGCGTCCGGGCAATGTCGGTGTGTGAGAGGCGCAAGGCTGTGCTGTGAGCACGATGCCAAAATGGATCACATCATTGAGCGTCCCCTCCCTAAGCACAGCCCCGATCTGAAGAGTAGATCTTCGATAGAGAAGCACCCAAGAAGGTAAAAGATCGCCACTCTGTAGTACGCTTCGTAGGCCAGTCGGCCATTGGCTTTTAGATTCTCGTTCAGCTGCCTGGTTGTGTATCCATCCTGGACCAAGATGAACTGTATGGGTTACTCGGAAAGGATCTGTGTGGGTGTATCAACGCGATTTCATCACTCTTGAGGTATAATGATACCTCATACCCTTAGTAGCCTGTGAGAGGGACAGTTTGTTGAAGCGATTCTGAATCTTGTTTATCGTCTAAGACATGCACTGCCAAATTCTCTTGGTTGCCCCAACGCCCTTTCCCCAAATATATCCATATTCATGCTAAAAAAGCTGAGAAATGCCTCCAAAAAATCGTACAGAACGCCATCCCAGGTAATCCATTGAAACAAAACTAACCACTGCGCTTCTGTTGCGCTGAGGCCTGGTTGCCCTCCTCGAGCGCAGCGTTGATGATCCCCGTCGCCTCCTCAATAACATCGTAGCCTCGTCTCCAGGTATACAGCGCGACACCCTGCTCGTCAAGGATCTCATGTGCCCTAGCGAGGCGTCGGCGCCACAGTTCTAGCTTTTTGTTTACCCCCGTTGCTGCCGAACCTTGCTGCGTGTTCGAATTCCAGTCTGGTGTAGCTGTCGCCATGCCGTTAGGGGGAGTACGGCCAGATGGGGGTGTTGACGATAATGGGGTGTGGCCCGAGCTTCTGGGGGGCGGTTGATGTGGTCTACTAATGTCCCGTGGGGTACTAAATTCAGCCCCAACTCGGTTAGACTGGATGCTTGAGCTGGTACCTGTGCGTCGAGGAGGCGGTGGCGGCGGGGTCTGCCTCGATGTAGAGCTTGTGGGACTACTAGATGCATACTGCAGCTCACCGCTGGGGTATTTCCTCGGGGCGGCGGCGTTCTGTGCAGATAAAGTCTGGATCTGTGATAAAGGATGGCGAGTATTTTCTCCAGCGGATATGCCCACAGGCTTCCGGCTACGAGGAGGAGGCGGGGGCGGGGGCGCTGAGGACGTCCTTCCTGCTCCTGGGTGTGACTCGTCTAAATGCGTCGAGATTTTACTTTCAGACGAGCCACTTCGTAATGCAGCTGGTTTGGCTGGACGAGGAGGCGCTCGGGAGGAAGCTCCGAAAGCACTAAGCTGTCTTGGCTTGTTAGGAGGGGTTGGTGCCTCCTTAGGGGAAGCTGGCTTCTCATCGTCTGAAAAGTCAATCAGGTTTCCAGTAGGTACCTCCGCAGCTGCTGGTGCCCTTGGAGGAAGTTGAGGTCGGTCGACCGGCCTGTCGCCAACCGAATTGGGAGAGCTTCTCCTTTCAGTATCCGGCATTTCCTTTTCAGTCCTGAGTAAACCCGAGCCAACAGATGAGTCGAAGAATCCAGGCTGCTCAGGGGTAGTCACATCCCGGATAAAAATGGCAAGGATGCGTTTGGGATGCGCCACTGCGAGCTCGGTGTAGACCTCAAGATCGGCCTCTCCACTATCGCCAACAAGAATAAACTTGCGCTCTGGAAAATCAGACAGGATCCTCTCGAGCGTCGGCTTCTTGCGTTCTGCCACAGGCTCGAATATCCCTTGCAGCATACCGTTGTAGGCCTTGAGATGCACAGATCCCGGAGGCAACCCGGAAATCTTAAAGAACGCCGCGAGAACGGGGAAGAGTTGCCAAGGACTGTTGGAGCAGTAGTGGATACCTACGCCCATTGAGTGCATTCTGTTATACCACTCTTTTACTCCGTCGACAGTAAGAGTCGGTAGGTCCCGAATGAATGTGTTTCGAAAGATCTCTCTCGCGCCGCCTGAGATATTGGAGCGCTTGATCGTATCGTCGATGTCGCTGATAACACTCACGCCCGCTGACTCGGTAACCTTCACGGCCTGGAGCGTCGAGAGATCCTCATTTGCCAGTACCCTGACGTAAGTGGGCACGAAGGGGAGAGCAGCACGGACATTGAATTGCCCTGAAGCATTCGTCATTACCGTACGTGACTGGGAGCAAGAGTCGTTGTAGAAGAAAATGGTAACAGGAAGTTCGGCGAAGGGTACTGTTAGGAAAGGCGCAATGCGAGCCGCCAGGTTAGTGTTGGCAGTCGCCAACTCAGCTTCCGTAAGGTCAGTTGTTCCATTGGATGAGGCTGTTCCTTGCCGATGAGGGGGTGTGAGACTGGCTCGCGTTGAGCTGTGAGAAGTCCCATTGAAGCCATTTGGCCCTGGCTGGTATGGTACATCCGGGCCCTCACTGTATTCGCCGTGAGATGCCGCTTTCCTCTCCGCTCGGCCCCTCTGTTCGATCTTGGCAGCCTCAAGAGCAATCTTCTCCTGCACCCGAAGATCCTCATGAGAGGGCCGCGATGGGCCAATAGAGTTGTCAACTGCGCCGGCGTTCTGCGGTCCATCAAGCCTCGGAATACCGCTTAATTGTCGCGCAAGCCCCAGCATGATTCGGCTCCTCCTCGTCAATGGGCCCCGGTGTGGAGAATATATCCAGCCTCTAACATCAACATCGACCACAGCGTCCTCGTCCCACTCACGTTCCCAACCGGTATACCAGTAATCGTCGTCTCTCATCCCACCCGGGGGAATATCGGATACAGGAGGCGGCGGCATATTCCTATCATGCTTCACATGCCGCTTCGCGTAGGTCGGAAACAGTATCATCTGGTCCGTCCCCTGTACCGTGACACGAGCCTCCGGAAACGAGCCCGGTATCGACTGTCTCTCATGTTCCAACGGATCAAAGGCCCTCGTTCTTGTCTGAGCATACGACTCCTTAATCTCAGACACGGCAGAGGCTCCCGCCCTGTACATCGACCCCGCCATAGCCGCCAGCCTCATCCTCCTCGATGTCCTCGACGGCGCCCCATCCGAGTCGTATCCACCACCGGACCCCCCATACCTGCCGCCTTGCGCCGCCGACCCGGCTCCTCCTGACGATGTTGGCAGCATCTTCTTCGGCCCTATAAGCCCAACCCCGCGAGGCTGAGTCGCACGTCGCGGGGCGAAGGCCGACGGGGCCCCTTGCCGACGGACAAGGTCGAGCACACCAGGCTTCTTCTCGAGTCGGCGCCGATACCTCCAGAGGAGGAAAGTATGAATTCGCGATTGCGCGCTGTATTTAAGCTTGGGGAGGACGTCGAGGTGGAAGAGGAGGACGCGCTCTTGGTATCGGACGCGGAGGGTGTGGGGAACGAGATAGCGGAGGAGCTCTCGTTTGTTATGGGGTGATCGTCGGCGAAAGAGAGCCACGGTGAAAGGGAGATCGTACCGGGTTTTCGTATTCAAAGACAGAATTGGGCCAGTGGAATGCCAAGGGTTATAGTTCAAAGCAAGTTTCGTATGGCCTCGAGGATGGAGAACGATTTTGATGATAGAACTTTGGGGAGATGCAGGCACGTCGGTTAGCGCATCGAACAACAGCTTCTACTCCGTACTTCGTAAGCTCAGTCGCAAGGTTCAGCAGGGCGGTCTGGGCAATGCAAGTTGACGACACTTGCTAGGCATTGTGGCTTGGGCCAACAGTGTTTGGTTCCACTGAAATCTCGACTTCACGTGACCCTCTACACTACCTCACGATGACACACTGAAGCTTGTGCAAAGACAGCACTTAAGATCAATACTTTGATCGACGATGGGCAGAAAAAAAAGTCCTCCAACTCCATCGACCTCTCCCTCAGGTCTGCCTTAAAGGCTTTGATTTCCTGATCCAGCCAAGTGTACAGAAAGCGGTGCTCCCTATGGCATCACCCCCTCCAGGAAGATGAAATTATTGTTGTTGTAATTGACATCCTTTAAGAGGTAGAGCGCCGCCAGAGTCGGAGAGCCGATTTCGGAGAGCTCTTTCCATCTTTCCCTTCCTCCTCCTGGCCCTCTTCTCTTTAGTGAATTGTTCAACTGCGATGGTATGGCTGGGTTCTCAGAAATATATTTACATATCGGCTCGGAATGTACACTTTTCCAGATTTTAAAATCTCCTCGTGCGGCTCCAGACATGCCATGGTGGGTGGGTATTAACACGCCGAATTAGCCTCACCTCCGGCCTCCCTTGGGCTTGCCCTTGCCCTTGCCCCTCGGAACCCCCTTGCTCTTGGCAAGCCCCTGTCCCTTGGAGCCGAGTCGCGATTTGGGAGGCTTTGATACCTTCGCCTTCGGTTGCTTCTTCAGTTCAAGGACAGCGCCCTTGCCATCTCGCTCAGCTCGCCCCTTCTTCCAGGTCGGTCCCTCGGCTCTGGTCGCCTTGGCGTCGAGCTTCTTCTTGTCCTTGTTGCTCAGGGTCTTGCCGCCGTGTTTCTTCTTCAAAGACTCCCTCAAGCCGTTTAGCTGCGTCCGGCCAGCCTCCTTGGCCTTCTTCTTGTCATGTTCAGTCTCGAACCACGTCCTCTTCGGCCGCCCCTTAATTTCGGCCTCGTGCTCGATCAAGTTCTCACCCTTCTTAACCTGCATCTCCATATGCGCGAGCTGCTTCTCCTCCTTTTCTTCTTGCATGATCTCTTCCACTTCGTCCTCCATATCGTCAATCTTCTTCTGCCACTTGTCGGCATCCGAAGGATCAATCACCCTGCTCGTTATCTTGGCTCCCTGTGCCTTGCCAGCCTTCACCGCAGCTCGTACAACCTTACGATCTGGTTCCGCCGCTAGCGTACACGCGTTACCGCTTCTTCCGGCTCGCGCAGTTCGACCGACTCTGTGAACGTAAATCTCCAGGTTCTGCGGCGCTTCGTAGTTGATGACGGTGTCGACTCCCTTGATATCCAAACCTCGAGAGGCAAGATCGGTTGCTAAGAGGTACGACACCTTGCCATCTCTGAACGTCTCAACGCTTGCAATTCTCTGGTATAGTCCATTAGCGACTGCGCACTCGGGATTGCAAATTCAATATGGCGGAAAAAACTCACCTGAGCTTGATTCATGCTGCCGTGCAGCTCCGCGGATGATAGGCCAAGTAATCCAAAGACGATTCGAGCGAAATGTGCCTGCTTCTTCTGCCTGAAAAAGATGATAACTCGATCGTGGTATACGTTTTTGCAGAGCCATACTAGATAGCCCATACGCTTGTCCTCCCTTCCAGGCCGTAATCGTACAAACTCCTGTGTTAAAGTCCCTGCCGTGCTCTTCTGAGAATCAACCATCAGCCGCACGGGCTTATTCAAACCGACACGGATGAGCTGATCGACGGAGGATGTCATAGTAGCCGAAAACAACATAGTCTGGCGAGATTTGGGTAGTGTTGTAAGAATCTCGTTCAATTCGTCGGCGAAACCGTCCTCAAGCATTCGATCTGCCTCATCAAGAACCAAGATCTCCACGGTGTCAACGGTGAAACTCATAGAATTCCGCATATGATCGATGAATCGACCGGGAGTTGCGATAATGACGTCGGGTCGTAGGCGAAGCTCGTTTTCCTGCGCCTTTAGACTCAAACCACCAACAGCGAGTGTGAACTTGATATCGGTAAACGAAGCGAGCTTCGTCGCAACAGCGTGACACTGAATCGCAAGCTCACGAGTCGGGGTAAGGACGACGACACGACTTGTAGGTACCTTCTTGGGCCTAAAGAGAAGTCTCTCGATGATAGGTAGGATGAATGCGGCCGTCTTTCCTGAGCCGGTCACGGCTCCACCAACGACATCCTTGCCGAGGAGGGCAATAGGAATGGTCTTAGACTGAATTGGCGTGGGTTTTGTGTACCCGGCTGCGCCGAGGCCGCGAAGCACTGGTCGACTGAGAGACATACTTTGGAAAGAACCGTCCTTGCCCTTTTTGCCAACGTCTTGTGTCGGCTCTTCCGGCGCAAAGAAGGCTTCTCTTTTCGCTAACTCCTCCGCGTCTTCTTCTTCTTCTTCTTCATCGTCATCATCGTCATTAACCTCCTCCTCCTCCTCTCCTTCGTCGGTCTCCTCAGCAGGCGAGCCAGCGTCTTCGTCACCGGAGGCCCCGTCGTCCTCATTCTCCACTGTCTCCTGTTCTTCCTCTTCATACTCCGAGTCGACATCCATGCCAAAGGCATCATCGGCTAAAACCTCGTCGTCGGCATCATCCAAGTCGAGCTCCGCATCGCTCTCGACGTCAGCCTCGAGATCTGCTTCGTTATCACCATCGCTCTCCGACTCAGACGCGGTTCCCTTCTTCGATTTCTTTTTTTGTTCCTTCTTCTCCCTCCTCCTCTGAATGATGGCGTCTAGATCAACGCCCCTCTTATCTCCGTCCACTCCCTTCTTAGCACCCTCAAAGCCCCAACCATCGAAGTCGCCGTCACCGAGGTCGTTAATTCCGTCCGGGGCAAACTCGAAATCGGAGGCCATGGCACCGTCGTCCTCGTCATTTTTACCCCAAAGGCCTTCTGTGGAATCCTCGGCATCTTTTCCGCCCTTCTTATTTTTCTTGGAAGATTTGGCCTTCTTTTTCGGGGGCTCGGGCACCAGATCCTCCTCGTCCGGGACGGCGTCGGAGTCTTCGATGGTGTAGACGAAATCGTCATCAATTGACCGTTTCCTGTGAGAGACCGTCATGGTTTTGCTCGGCGTCAAGAGCGCACCTCTGTGTTTAACCCGTGTTGTCGAGAATTGGCAGCAAAAGAGTGGACTGTTGTGGACTGGCAAACCGCTAGGAAAACCTTTTGTCGTCGAGCTCTTCGAGGGGCAGTTCCCAGAAAAATTTCGGATTCTGCCACTCACCGCCTGCCCCACATTTCCTCAACTGCCAACGATGAAAGTCCATGTGAAAAGATCAAATCAATCTTACGAAGTAATTACACAGGGACGAGGTACAACATAAGGTACCTCGTACACTCATTCATTCATAACTTTGTACACCCGTAATCTTTCAGACCATCCTCTCCTGGACCCTGGCAACTGAGCTGACGCGGGAGCTAGGAGCTCTGGTATCCACGTGACCGGAGCCCCAGGCGATGGAATGATGGGGTATGCATCCATTCTTTTGTGTTCGAAAAGTATCTTATTATTAAGAAACGAATGGCGACGTCAGGCCAAGGCACAAAACGATCCCACCTCCTATATAAACAACCCCACCATTTTTATTTCGTTGATTGGGTGACCACGACCACTTCGTACTTTGTACATTTCTTCCAGGCTGAAAGACTGAGGCAACGAAAAGGAAGGCGTTCTCGGAATAGAGGCATCCTTCCCAGTCCTTGACGTGTTTTCGGATTTCCTAGTCGGCGTCGTTTTATCCATCAAACATATACCCATCTTCATCTTTGGGGATTGTTTCTTCTCGCATCCCAGCTGTGCTCTCGCCATCATTAATACTCACTCCACATATCCCCTCCTACCCCTCCTGAACGAGCCAAGATGGGTGAATCCAGGTACGCCAATCCAACTCGCACCTCGTACGCTCGTGAGAGGCACGATGAACCGGCAAGCTGACACCGTAACCATAGACAAGAACTGGTCTCCTGGCTTAACCAGCTCCTCCAGCTGAACATCACCAAAGTCGAACAATGCGGTACCGGGTAAGATCTCCACCCCTTCCCCACACTCCTTGCTCAGCGGACTCCCACTTCCCTCGACGCGTGGACGTCGACGTCGACTAACAAGGAGACTTTTTTTTTTTTCAGAGCCGCGCTATGCCAGGTGTTCGACAGTATCTTCATGGATGTGCCCATGTCCCGAGTCAAGTTTAATGTCAACAGCGAATATGCGTATATCCAAAACTTCAAGGTCCTCCAGAGTGAGCATTCTCCGAACCCTAATGCCAAGATAACACCCGCCATCAACCCCTCTCGCATCAACGCGATCAATGAATACGGTCCTCGCATGGGCACAAAGAGGCCATCGGCGCTCTAACTGTTTTTTGTCGTCATAGATTGCTTTACAAAGCATGGAATTGATAAGCCGATCCCTGTCCAGTCATTGGTCAAGTGCAAAATGCAGGACAACCTAGAGTTCTTGCAATGGACCAAGCGCTACTGGGATCTCAATTTCCCCGACCACGATTACGACGCAGTGGCGCGACGAAAGGGTAGCGGAATGCCCCCCTCAGCCGCCGCCCCTCGAGTTTCGAGTGCCGGTGCCAGGCGGGGAGGAACAACGCCGACTGCCGGTCGACCCAAGGTGGGAGGCGCCGCCTCGGCTGCCCTCCAGCAAGAGAACGCCAACCTCAAGGAGACCGTGGCTGGATTGGAGAGGGAGCGCGACTTCTACTTCAGCAAACTCCGAGATATCGAGCTCTTGGTTCAAGCGGCCGTTGAGGAGGATCCCGAGTTGGAGAAGCAGGAAGACGGCCTCATTAAGCAGATCCAGTCCATCCTATACTCAACCGAGGAAGGCTTCGAGATTCCCACTGAAGGCGAGGGCCTTGACGACCAGGAGACATTCTAGCCCTATGAATGAGGGCGAAGGATGCTGGAAAGATGGGGAAGGGGGTGAAAAAAGAAAACAACCTGTGTTGGACTAATGAAGAGAGGCGGCGTGGAAGACGGAAGATGGAAGCCCTGCACATAGCAACGAGTTGACGAAAATTCATTGGGCGAGGAGTTAACATAGGCTTTTCTTATTAAGGAGCCTAGACTCGGTGCTTTTTTTTACTGTACCTATATGACTGGATTCAGTGAAGCTTTTCGCGCGTACGACCTTGAGTTATACCATAGAATACAACTAGGTCTCTTTTACACCTCAGGTGGCAGCAGAGAATCTCTGCGTGACAATGATATATGGGTGTAATAACAAACGTTCTTTTTGGGCGATGTTCGAGTGTCGAACCTTGGAATCTGGGCCCCTGCTTTAGCCGCTTGCGACCCCATCAGGCGTGAGAAGACGCATAAAGGTGGGTGGCCATGACCATGAAGCGCGTACTGGAGACACGCATCGAAAATGCAACTTGACCTCGACCGGCATCTCGATCACAATCCGACCCCGGATTGGCACCGAGCCTTCACTTCTTTGATTTGAATTGATGCCCCGAATTGTGCAAACAAAGGAGCCGGTGAATTTTCGGTTTAAGTCCAACAACCTTCATGTGTCTTCTCATTTCGCGCCGCCCCATTTGATCAATCCAATTGTTGACCAAATGAGCCTTCAGTGTAATCATATATTGTCTGGACCGAAGCGATACAAGGTGTCGTCCAAACACCTACCCATCTCCCTACAACTCCGAATCTGGGTTGGCAAGATTCTGTTTAGGGGAGACAATGTTGGCGGCGGGAGAGGCACAGTTTTCAGGTTGCCAGCAAAGCAGGTGGCCAAGCTTTGGTGCAGCCGCAACGAACTGGCATCCATGGAATTTGTCCAAGCGAAAACCTCAGTTCCGGTCCCCGGAATTCTTGAAATTTACGAGATTAAAGATGACGCCGATGGCCGGGTCCATATCGTCATGGAGGAGGCTCCCGGCGGGAATGCCTATGAGGAATACGTCAATATGACGGACGAGCAGGTGGCGACGTTCGGAAGTGACTTGGCCGACTGCTTGGAGCAGCTCCGGGCACTAGAACCACCCAGGGACTGCAAGGTCGGAAACACCCTAGGCAGGGCGGGCCTCGACCACCGGCTGAGTAGCAGGCTATGGGGACCATTCGACACAATAACTGATTTCCACACCTACCTCCGGAGGGGTCATCCCATCGAGCACTGGGAGAGTGAACCAGATGTTGTGCGTGTGCACTCCAGACCTGAAGGCACCTACCAGCTTAAGTTTACGCACGCCGATCTTGCACCGCGTAACATCAAGGCCAAGAACGGCCGTATCACGGCCATTCTCGATTGGGAATTCGGCGGCTGGTATCCGGAGTACTGGGATTATACGAAGATGTACTGGGGAGAATCGGAGGTATGGGAGAACTTTTACCGGGCCGTCGAGGGCGAGGACAGGATTGTCAAATATCCGGAGGAGAAAGCGGCGGAGTTGGCGATTTGGAAGCATATGCATCCGTTTGCATATGATGATCCGCCTTGGAAACCGGAGGACGACTTGAAATATCAGAGGGCTCAACAAGGGACAGATGATAGTACCAAGGCCGAAACGAGCGGTCTAGATGATAAGGCCAAGGACGAAACGGACGATGCAGACGATACGACGAAGGTCCAAACCAATGGTCCAGATAATCAAGATCAGGATTCGGCTCCAGGTCCTAAGGAGACAACGTCCCAAGAGCAGTGATATCTCAAAAATAGCTCTACGGAGAGGATACGGCCAGGCCCTTCCATTTCTCGTTTGTTGCCCCCGTGAGGAATATGGGTTCCACGGAAGTGGCTACAAGTTTCAGGGCGAGCCTAGAGTCGACTTTCTGGTCAACTGCTGTAGAGACGGACACAGCCATTGGCACTAAGCATGGCGAAGACAGAGCCTCCGGCCTGCGGGACCCGCTTGTTGTAACAACATTGAATTTAAACTAGTTCCTGGAGAGCCCAAACGACGGCCGCGCCCCTCGGGGTGTTGTGGCTCCGGAAATCACACCCCAAATGCCCCGTTAAAATCCAGCTCGGCGGCTCTGTGAATCAAGCTCCTTTTTCTTCCCATCCGAGCTTTTTTTTTTTTTTTTTTTTTTTTTTTTTTTTTCGTTGTACAGAGGTAATCTGGTACCACACGTTTCCAACGGGGCAAGTACAAGAAGTGGAGTACAAGATCCTCGAGCTACTTACACGAATTGAGCTTGGAATGGAGCTTAAATTCGTACCCGTAATCGTACAATCAGTCGGTGTGCAAAAGCACAGCAGGCAGAGCTCAATGTGCTGTTTCACATGCAGGGGACACCGGTAGTAATATCAGCCGAAATTTGAATTTTATCATTAAATTTCGCATGTTAGCCACATGCATTTCCGAAAATGCAAGAGGGTCCCTACAGATATTGCCTGGCTTGGTTTTTCCTCATTTCCTCAGCTATCGTTTTAATCTAGGTGCCTGGAACAGCCCGGATCTTGCCCAGCTTCCCCATGTCTTTCCAATGTCCGATTTGGAAATGGGTCACTCGATGCCTAATCTTGGATCACCTGCCCCTTGACGAAAACGGCAGTCGAAACCGCCCAATGAGGTGCATGAACCAAATTCCGAAAGCTTGACCCAACTTGACCCCATCAATCAACTCCGCAGTCACAACAGCATCTTGTCGGGGACCTCATTCATCTCAACCTGATCTTCCCGCTCTTAAATCCTCGACCATCATTCCCCATCCAGAACTCCGATGCAAAGCACCAGAATTGACCCCGCCGATCTGAAATCACCAACATCATTTCCTCTGCGAATCGAATCGACCTTGCTAGCAATCCAACATCACCCATTGACTTTCTGACAAGGCTGCCAATACAGCGTTTCGCTGGAACCTGTCGATTCCCAATCCTCAACCGTCAACCACCTTCGAAAGTACTATCCAGCCAGAAATCCAGAGAGAAGAGAAGGAACCAGTAGCGACCATGGCTCCGCCAGCCGAAATCTCGATCCCCTCAACCATCATCTCCAACACCGAATCCAAACCCTTCACCCTCTATAACATCACCCTCCGCCTACCCCTCCGCTCCTTCGTCGTCCAGAAGCGATATTCCGACTTTGCCGCCCTCCACTCCGCACTGACGTCACAAGTAGGCGTGCCGCCTCCAGCGCCTTTGCCGGCCAAAAAATGGATCAAGTCCACCGTATCGTCCCCCGAACTCACCGAGCTGCGGCGGCAAGGCCTCGAAGCCTACCTCCGCGCCATAGCAGAGTCGCCCGATAGACGGTGGAGAGATACCAAGATTTGGAGGAGTTTCCTATCGCTGCCGAGTTCGAGCGCGTCTGCATCCGCGGCGTCGGCAGCAGGCATGATTAGCACGGCAGCCGTCGGTGCAGCGGACCCGACGGTGTGGCTGGATATGCACAGGGAGATGAAGTCTTGTCTGCATGGCGCGCAGAGCCATCTTACCAGGAGGGATGGAGCATACGAGTCACATAATACATCAGCTGCGGCCGAGGCCGGCGCAGCGGCTAAGAAGGAGCTCGTGAAAGCAGGTACATTACTGAGCAGCTTATCCGATGGGCTGCGCGCTATCAAGGATAGCAGCAGGCTCGGGGAAGGAGAGATTAGGAGGCGCAAAGATCTACTAGGCGCTGCGAGAGTGGAGCGGGAGGGATTAGAGAAACTGAGCAACACTATATCCCCATCTCTGAACGTTGGGAGGGGAGGACTACGAGACGGCCCCTCCTGGGGCGTAGACAAAACGTCACTTCTCAAAGGAGCTTCAATGTCATCATCAACCTCAAGCGGTCCCCGGCCGGGTGGTCGCGTGATCGGCGCGCCGCTACCCGAAACGGACCAAACAAGAGAGCTGGACAATACCCAGCTATTATCACTTCAAAAGCGCGTGCTCACCGAGCAGGATCAGAACGTCGACCAGCTCACGGCGATCGTGCGCAGGCAGAAGGAGATCGGACTCGCCATCAAGGACGAGGTCGACCGGCAGACCGAGATGCTCGACATGATGAGCGACGACGTGGACCGGGTCGGCAACAAGATTCGGGTAGCTAAGAATAGGACGAGAAACCTGTGACTCGTGGTGGGGGTGGTGGTTCGAGGGTTCCTGTTGCTGGCCGAGATGGTTCTTTGGCTGCGGTGGGTTACGGAGAATGCGGCTACTGGGCTGGTGTGGGGCGTGCAGTTGGTGCTCTACTCCTTGAGAGGGATTCTGGATATTCGTGCTTACATCTAGATTTAATCATGGGTTTATCATTTGCTAATTGCTAAATGAGATCGGACATTGCTTTATCGTCATCGATTTCATCGATTTTACACAGTGCCTGCGTAACAATTTGTCGAGGTTTCGATGATGAGAGACGTCCCAGTCCATAAAATTGAAGTGGTTTGATCGAATACGCGGTTGCC